AGATATAACATACACCGGTGTTTAACCTGCGCAAATGTTGCCAGTTTCTAAAGAAAGGTTAACGGAGTGGGGGTACTGGGCAGGGACTCGAACTCTGTGACAGGGACCGGACTTTGTTTATTAGCATCATAATGAACTATTAGATTTATTTAAAATATACGTTTAATGGAATTTTGTATTATGAAATAAATTTAACGTGATTTTTTAATATCAAACAGATGCCACGATATTTTATGTAAAGAGAAGACCTTTAATAGAATATTTCGTTTACTATGGACTTTTCTCTAAGAGACTACAGTAAAATGTTGAAATAGAATATTGTTAATCGAGTAAGAAATGGTATTCATTGTCTAAGAGTATTATAAAAAAGCATGTGCGCAGGCGAATACTGCAAATCAAAACTTGTGAGTTGAACATTATATTTTTTCTACGACTATCACATAATATTAAAATTTAGTCAAAATGAGAAAATGCTGTTTTGTATTATAACCTCAGAAAAAGATATATTAAAGCTTGTTTCTTTAGGAATATTAATTAATATAGAGGATGCGTCACATAAAACTCTAAAAATGCATATGTCTGAAACCAGATAACATTTTAAAATTTAAACCTATTAAAAGTCATTTGGTCGCTAGGAGTGGGTGATTATCGAAATAAATTATTGATCATTAATAATAATCGATTATTTTCGATCAATCGATTATTTTCAAACAATCTATTTTTGTTCATATTTCCTTTAAAATTGACTACTTGATCATCTTTAAAAAATAAAAAAAAAATAGATTAATTAAAAAGCCAATTAACCGATAAATCAGTGTTTACAAAAAATAATAAACGAATTATCGTTTATTTTAAATAATCGATTATTTTTAATTTCTATTTTTTTTTTTCGTATTTCCATTGAAACATTATTCGATAATCTTTGAAAAATCTAAAATAATCGATTAATCGATTTAAAAAAAAAAAAAGAATTATTTCCTTTAAAATCAATTATTCGATCATTTTTGAAACATCGAAAATAATCGATTAACGGAAAATAACCAATTAATTAAGAAGATTCTACGATAAATCGATTTTCCAAAAAAAAAACTGAATAAATATTGATTATTTACAAATAATCCTTTTCTTTTTTATATTCCTTTTAAAACTGATTATTTAATTTTCTTTGAAAAATCGAAAATAATTGATTAATAAAAAGCTGATTTACCGATAAATCAATAATTCTATAAAATAACCGAAATATCGATTATATAATATAACCGATTATATTCGATCAATCGATTATTTTTATATAATCTATTTTTTGTATTTTAAAACAAATTATTTGAATACCTTTGAAAAATCGAAAATAATCGAATTATCTAAAATAATCGATTAACCGAAAATAATTGATTAATTTAAAAAGTCTATTAAACAATAAATCGATTTTTCTAAAAAATCGATTATTTTCAATAAATCGAATATTTTGAATAAATCTACTCTCTTTTTGTAATTCCTTTATAATCGATTATTCCATTACCTAAAAAAACGAAAAAAATTTATTAAAAATGTTCGATTATTCAAAAATAATCTATTAAAGATAATCGATTAATTATAACGGATAAATCGATTTTCATGAAAACGATAAATCGATTATTTTTGTAACCCCTATCGGTCGCATGCTTTTATCAGAGCATTTAGCTCCAAAATTTGGAGATTCGGATTTATTGACCCTATTATCTTTGAAACCGCATTCGATTGTATAATAAATATTGCTAGAATTTAGATTTTTTTAGTAAACGAAGATATTTTTCGAGTTGTTTAGGGGTTTATAATGTAACATTTTACTAATAATATGACTAATTTCCGTAACTTTAGTATTTTTTGCTTATACTAGATCATATTGCGCGTTTTACTTTGTTTTAAGATTCAAATGTCACTTTTGATTTAACCGCAAATAAAATAAACCTTGAAATTTTAAGTAGGTGAACCTGTATTTCATCTAATATTCTTGTAAAAATATCTAATAAAGGGCTAAAAACCACTTTTAGTAAATATTCTTATAAAACTACTTTTTAAAAACACAATTTCGTTAGTAACAATGCCTATTTACTTCTTATTTAGATTAAATATTTATTGAAACCCCTTAATGCGGATCTGAAGTATTCAGCTCAAAGAATCATGGCGACTTTATGTCAAAACGTCAACAAATATTTACCGCTGAAAACGAATATATTTCTTATTTTTCATAACATTGACACATATTATTTGTATATACAATTTTTCACCATACATCGTGGCATTTTCAACTTGAAATTGAATAACTAAAACACTTTAAATTGCTAATAACACCAACAAATAATTCAAAAACGGCGGTCCATAAATGATTTACTCACGCGGAGACAAGCAAAGAATAGAAATTTCGGAGCAATTCGGGTGACGTCGTGAACACAATGATTTTTAATTGGTGGGTTACTTAGGTTTGGAATAGACAACATGCGCAATGTGCAATGTTACATCTCCGGTCTCTTTTATCTAAGTCCTCAACTGATAGTCTAATCAACAAGTTCAAAAGCGTGTTTTTGGGACTTACTATTACGAAAATTATGTTCAATAGCTCACTCGATTCGGAATAATAACTAGATCAATGTGTGAAGAAAAATTTTGCAGTGCATAAAAAATTGCAAAAGTTATAAACAATTAAACACCTTAAAAACATGGTGTTTGGTTTTTCGCCTATAGTTTGTAAACCATAAATATTTTTGGATTTTTCAAAAAAGATCCTTAAAGAGGAGGAAATTTGCTATAAATAAGTTCTGACTCCCGGAACTGTACCTCCATTATTTATAATTTTAATTTAACGATCAAAGTAGCCTTCCGCGCGCCATTTTTAGGTTGCGCGCACGGCGTCGAAACCGAGTACGTTACATAAAATAATTTTTTTAAGTTAATAAAATTAAATTCAAAAATTTTAAAAAATTACGGTATATTCTAAACACTTAGAAGAATTCATACCCGTTAGAATTTTTCATGAAAATTAATTTTCCAACAAAGTAGGTTATTGTTAATTAACAAAATTTTTAGAATTTCTCCCATCATTACAAATTGATAAAAATATTAAATAATTACCGTATTTTTTTTTGCTTCGTGGAGCTCTTTTTATATACATATAAAATAAAATAGCTTCATAAAAGTTTAAAAAATGTTAATACTTTGTTTATAATAATTTTTTAAAGTTTACAAAAGGAGAAAAGTCACAGTGGTGCTATAAAAAATTTTTTTTTCAATTTATTATAATATTACTGTTTTAATGTCAAGAAGACATTTATTAATTAAAAAAAAATTTTCTTTTTACAACTTTCTAGACAATTGCCAATTATGATTTTTAAAACAAATTTGTTTAAATTATTAGTTAAGAAATGTGTTTTTTTTTAAATCATATAATTGACTGTCCTCTACAAAGTGACAGCAAAAAAATTTTTTTTTATTAATAATTCCATTATTTATTTAGTTAACAATTTGTTATAAACAAATTCCCAACTTTGGTTTATTTTTTTCCTGAAAGAAATAAAAATTCCAAAAACGACTTAGTGCATTAAAATTACGGAAAAAATTTTATTCCATTTTTTATTATACTTTGAAAATATACGTACTATCAAAGTTACAGTAGCTGATCCATTTATTGACTTAAAAGTTGATATAACTTTTAAAATATTGGAGATACGACAATAAACATTCAAGTCATTTTTGTAGGCAATGAAATTATCTCTCAGATAAGTCATTTGTCAATTTCGTACCTATTGTAGCTATTTTGTTTTATATGTATATAAAAAGAGCTCCACGAAGCAAAAAAAAAATACGGTAATTATTTAATATTTTTATCAATTTGTAATGATGAGAGAAATTCTAAAAATTTTGTTAATTAATAATAACCTACTTTGTTGGAAAATTAATCTTTATGAAAAATTCCAACGTGAATGAATTTTTCTGAGTGTTTAGAATACACCGTAATTTTTTAAAATTTTTGAATTTAATTTTATTAACTTAAAAAAATATTTTATGTAACGTACTCGGTTTCGACGCCGTGCGCGCAACCTAAAAATGGCGCGCGGAAGGCTACTTTGAGCGTTAAATTAAAATGATAAATAATGGAGGTACGGTTCCGGGAGTCAGAACTTATTTATAGCAAATTTCTTCCTCTTTAAGGATCTTTCTTGAAAAATCCAAAAATATTTATAGTTTACAAACTATAGGCGAAAAACCAAACACCATGTTTTTGAGGTGTTTAATTGTTTATAACTTTTGCAATTTTTTATGTACTGCATAATTTTTCTTTACACATTGATCTAGACATTATTTCGAATCGAATGAGCTATTGAACATAATTTTCGTAATAGTATGTCCCAAAAACACGCTTTTGAACTTGTTGATTAGACTATGAGATGATTCAGCAGAGGAGGTAGGGAGACGAGAGAGAGCGATATTGTTTTCACGGGTTCCAAATAAAAATATTATTGAAAAACAACATACCGCAAAACCCAATTAGTTTTTCATTTTAGCAAAAACTTGTAAATAGAAAAAAGTTAGGAAAAATAATCAGCTACAATTTGTAGGTTTTAAAAAATTGATATTTGCAAATTGACAAAATTAAATTTTAGTTCCAATTTTTGAGCGATTATTCTTGACCATCTTTACATTTTGGTAAATATTTTTCTAGATTTCGTGAGGCACATTTTCTGAGATGTATGTATGTATCTTGTACAGTCGCTAACAACAGGCATTCTTTCTTATTTAGACATTGTAACTAAAAATTTTAAATATATTTTCTATAATATTCTTTATATGATTCAAGCTGCGATAGTTTGAAATCTTATTAGGGCTTTTGGCTTATTAACATGTTACCCTAGACGTTATCTTGTTGAGACCATACTTGAAATAATACAGACGCCTTTAGTGAAAATTTATTGAGTTAAAACACTAGAATAAATGTATTTTGTAATATTATAAAAACGTTTCATAACATTCGTATATTAAAAGGTAATATATTGAATATAAGATTACAATATTGATTGAAATATATAATAATATTATTTAAAGTAGTTATTCACATGTAAGTAAACAACATTAATTATTATGGTCTCACTTAGTTCAGTTTAAGCCATTTTTTCAGTACTGATATATAAAACTTCCTAGCTTCCAAAATATAATTATTATCAGAAGGATTAGCACCTCTGAACTCCATAAGGTATGGAGCATCCATAATTTGATAAGTCTCTAACGATTTATCAACTTCATCTGACTTATTGAAATCAACGACACCCCATGAAGCCGGATCTGTAGTGCTGCTACTGAAGAGAATATTTGTATAATGCTTTAATTTGTTTATACCATATGCCAAAAACATAAAATTAGGTTTCGGTCTGACTTCAAATTTTTTGTAACAATCAGAAGCAAATTTTTCATAAACCCATTTCTTTGTGATGAACATATCTTGCTCAGTTGAACATTTGGGCATTATTAACTCTGTGCATGTTTGGTATTTCCAAGCAACGTCATTTAAGTCTTCTTCTTTACTGTAAATGTTGTTACAATATGTTTTGCCAGTATAATTAGTATACATTTGCAAAGCATTCGCAAATATTTGAATAAATGCTTTCGTGTCGTTATAATAACCAGTGTTCAGTTTATCGCAAAATACCATCACTGGAAAGGCTGGAACTGGATTGTAGTAATTTGAAGGGTAGGGATAATTTGCCATAGATAATTCTATAAATATTTTGCTTAACCAATCTACCAACATTTTCACATCTTCTGCCGTTTGTAGTTTTGTACAAAGCTTCCAAGTTGAAGAAATATAATTCATACCTGTAACAAATTTTCATTTAATAAAATAAACTAAACTAATTACTTTTATGAATATTAACCTTGTGTAGTAATAATAATAATAATAATAATAATAATAATAATAATAATAATAATAATATATAATATACCACATATTCCTTAGACCAAAATAAGTCGATTTAAGTAAAATTACCTTAGTACAAAGTTGCTTCGTTTGGGCTCCAGAGGGCCTTGAAGTTACAATTTTTAAATCGTTTTTCCCATATAAATTTAAAACGGCATATGCGATTTTGCTAAAATTTGGTATATTGGTAGAGTTTTATGTGGCAAAAAAATGGTATTAAAATTTTGTCCGATAATAATACATAGGCGTAGAACTTGATTTTTTAAATAATTGCACCTTTAAAAATTCTACGCCAATGGAAGAAAAGGAGTTTGAGTATAAAATTTAGATTGCCCAACCCATTTACTTTAAAAAAGGTACTCTAGATAAGACTCGATTACTCTCATAATTTTGACGAAATTTGCATTTTAGTAATTTTAGAACATAAACAATAATTATTAAAATACAAACTTTGTCAAAACCATGAGAGTAAATCGAGTGTTATCAAGGGTACTTTTTTGTAGTAAATGAGTACCCAATCCAAATTTCATACTCAAACCCCTTTTTTGCCATTGGCGTAGAATTTTTAAAGGTGCAATTATTTAAAAAATCAAGTTCTACGCCTATGTATTATTATCGGACAAAATTTTATACGAAGAAAAACATAAAAATGTACTTTTTTCATATCTTCTTCAACACCTCTAATCGAGACTTTTAACAAAAATACTCGATTCTTGCCATGTACGATTTTTTGAAAAATATTAATTAATTGCCTGCAATACGTATACAAAAACGTTTATTGTTGATTTTCCATAGTTTCATCTAAATAAAAATGTTGTCAAGTTTTAACTCCTAATCTCTTGTTAACGATTGAAAGTGTTCTATCTGACTCAATAATTAAAAAAACAAATGCGTGGTTTATTAATATGGCTGTACAATATACCAATGCAGAATATACCGATATGTTACTGACATTAGGATTTTGTGAAGGAAATGCTCGAGAGAGTGTCAGGGTGTACTCTGAAAAGTTTCCAAATCGTCGTGTACCTAGCCACTAGTAACCACCCAACTTTTGCTGCTGTTAAGAGACGTCTTCGGGAGACCGGTTCCTTTGCTCACAACACTGTTGATAATGGAAGAGAACGTTTTGTAAGGATGCCTGAAGTTGAAGAAGACATTTTAGAACGTGTTGAAGAAGATCCAGAATTAAGCACCAGACGAATTGGAAGGGAACTAGGAGTAAGTAAAGATGTCGTTCATAAAGTGCTTAGAGAACCATTGCTATATCCATACCATAAGAAGCCAGTACACGAATTATTAGTCCATGATCCTCAAATTCGTTTGAGTTTTTGTCGATTTGTTAATATGCAAAGAGAAAGAGATCCAAACTTTGTCAAGAAGGTTCTCTTAACCGATGAAGCGGGTTTTACAAGAAGAGGTATAACTAATACCCATAATGAACATGTTTATGCCGTTGAAAATCCGCATGCAATAAAGGTAAACCATTTTCAGCACGAATTTAAAATTAATGTGTGGGCTGGAATAATTGGTAATTTCATTGTTGGTCCTGTCATACTTCCACGAAGATTAACTGGAGAAAATTATTTGGATTTTCTACAAAATACATTGCCAGAATTGTTAGAAGTTTTACCTCTCCAACTTCGGAGAGATATGTGGTTTATGCAATACATTTTTCTTTAAACGGTAGAAACCACTTGAATGAACAATATCCACACAAATGGATATGCAGAGGTAATGACGCACCTGTAAACTGGCCACCACGTTCCCCAGACCTAACACCGATGGATTACTTTTTATGAGGACATCTGAAATCCACAGTTTACAGGGAACCTGTAGAAAATGAGGAACAACTCTGGCAACGTATTCAAGATGCAATAAACAATCGGTGATGAAGAAGTTATGGAAAGGATACATTTTAATTTTTTTCGACGTATAAATCTTTGTATGCGTGAAAATGGTGAACATTTTGAACAATTTTTGTAAAATCTCTATTTTGATTATGTTGTAAATAAATATTTTTGTGAAACCTATACACTCTAAATTATTAAAACAGAAATTTAGCGAAAACCATGAGAGTAATCGAGTCTTATCAAGAGTATCTTTTTTAAAGTAAATGACTTGCGCAATCTAAATTTCATACTCAAACTCATTTTCTTCCATTGGCGTAGAATTTTTAAAGGTGCAATTATTTAAAAATCAAGTTCTACGCTTATATATTATTATCGGACAAAATTTTAATACCATTTTTTTGCCACATAAAACTCTACCAATATACCAAATTTCAGCAAAATCGCCTATGCCATTTTAAATTTCTATGGGAAAAACGATTTAAAAATTGTAAATTCAAGGCCCTCTGGAGCCCAAACGAAGCAACTTTGTACTAAGGTAATTTTACTTAAATCTACTTATGTTGGTCTAAGGAATATGTGGTATGTTTTTGTAAAGACCTTTTACAGACACCCTGTATAAAAGATTAGATAGAACTACAAACTAAATTATTACAAGAAAAAAACGATAGAATCAAAATAAACCCACCCTCGAGTTTTGTGCTTCGATTTGTGTGTATATAAACTTTAATTTGTTATATTTTTTGAATTCCTAATTAATTTTGTGTATATTTTGGTAAGTACATTTACAGAACTATATATATTAATCTCATAATTTTGATAAATTGCCATTTGGCGAATCAATAGAAGAAATAATAGGTCTCATTGATAAAGTTGGCTTGTGTATCTTAGGCAGAGCATAAAAACGCGGAATTTTAGAATTATAGAATCTTAGTTTTGTTGCAACTTCTTTAGAAATGGCGTTAGTATTTTGTAGATTAGTAATGAGTTGATTGGCCTTTTGCTGCAAGGTACAGTTAGGATTGCGAGAGAGCTGTTGCCGACTCAGGTTTATTAAAACTATAATTTGTATTTATCAAAATAAACCTATGTGTTTTCATTAATAATATAAACTTACCTATTTTCGATTTGGTTAAGGTTTCAATTATATTCCATCCAAGTTGTATTGTTTTGACACATTTCTCATGTCCATGTCTTTCAAAAACTTGAGTAGCTTTCTGATAATATCCTTCGCAGGAAGTAAGTCCGGGCAAGTAGAAAAGAGGTGCAGATGAAGTAAGGGCTGCCCTAACTAAAAACGGATACTTCATTCTTAACAAAGCTGACAACATTCCAGCATAATATCCTCCAAAAGCAATAATAGGTTCGGTATTGCTACTATTGTGATTAAAATTTTTAAATAAGATCTTTTTCATTTCCTGAATGAGAAGCGCAAAATCTGCTAACGCCTGGGTTGTAGTTAAGTATCTTAAATTTTCAGTACTTGAGAATGATGCATTACCTGAAAACGAAAAATGTTTTATAAGCCCTGGCTAAGATTACAATAGTCCGGGAGGTAATGACGGCTTTCAATAAACCATTTTCGCAAGCTGTATATTTTGAATATGGGTTATTTAAATAGCATTTAACAGTAAAATCATCGTTTTCCATTTCAGTTGTACGACAGGGGGTTGCGGAAGGGGTGGAATTCAAGTAAAAAAAATATAAAAAAAAATCATTTTCGCATGGATGAAACTTGGTGTACACGTTGATATGAACATAAAAATATTAGAATATATCGTCTTCCACCTGAATTGTACAACAAACTACGTCTTCCACCCATATAAATAGGCATAAAAAATAATAAAAAAAATTATAGTCGCAAAGGAGAAACCAAGTGTGATGCTTATTTTTATAGTAAGAAAAATAAAAATAATAGTCTTCCACCAATAAAACACAACGAAGATCGTCTTCCAAGCTGATAAAGGTGTTCTCGACATGCATCAAAACCCTTTGAACCAGGGGTGTGCGATCTATGGAAGCGGGGGAAGCACCGCTTCCATACACTTTGAGATTTAAAAATAAAAATTTTTCAATTTCCAATGCGTAGAAATTAATATTAAATTAGGTACTATATTTTCTCTGAAACATTACGTAAACTTCGTAAATGTACTAACAATTCATTGGTGTAATGTGTAAACGCACGCACCACCCATGAGAAAATTAATTGTGTAAACGTACTTCGAGTCCGTCGACGGAAGCGCGTCTTGATCCCAATAGGTTTGGCTTCGTGTTATTGACCCTGTTTTGCCGCGACTCTCGCGACAATAGTCAGTCAAAAAATATTATCAGTGAAACAAATTTTCAAATTTCGCTGTACAAAAGGCTTGTTAATCATTATAATAAATTAAAACACAATCTTAGGCAAAAATCAAAAAAAAATTAAAGTTGATATGGAAAAAATTCAAGCAGCTATTTACAATAGAATCGATACACTTGAAAGTTATATTAGTTTTCAGGCCATAATATTACAAATTGATTTAGATTGTCAAATGGCAATTTCTTTTATAGATAATTTAGAAAATGCCATAACCTTTGCAAAATTAAATACTTTACATAATTCTGTAGTTTCCAGCTCAGACATAAAAAACATGATAAAATAATTATATAAAATATATAATGTTGATCAAATTCCGAAATTTACAAATTTATTAACGTATTATCAGATCTTAGGAACGCAAGTATCAATTTCAGAATCTAAGTTAATTTTTGCAATACACTTTCCTATTTTTAAAAGTAATACTTTTGAATTTTATCATTTATTCCCAATTATCCAAAACCAAAAAATGTATACATATTTCTTTATTCCCCTATTTGACACGAAAACATCAAGATACACAGTTTAAACGAGAAGGATGTCCATCCCTTGACGAAATCTATTATTGTCAACAGAATTTCATCCCCAGAGGTAATTGTACTCTCCAACTTCTTGAAGGAAAAACTTTGACAAATTGTCATATTTTAAATGTTACTTTAGAACAAATCGCAGTCGATGAAGTCTTAATAATCCCGTCAAAACCTGAACAAATTCTTTCAAAATGCAACAGTAACCAGTATATAGACATAAGGGTACCTGTATTAATCAAGATACCAAAATCTTGTGAAATTTGGACCAATGAAAGAAGATATATCAACAACATTCAATTGAGCAGAGGAATGCCATTCATTCTACCGAAGATCGACATAAACAAAATTCAAACTTCAAAATTTATCCAACTTCTAATATAACTAAATTAGATTTTAATGATTTATATGAAATTAATCAGATTTCTAAACAATTAAAGCCAATTAAAGAAATTCAAAATAATTTTAATTATTCAAGCACTTTTGGAACAATATTTGTAATTTTTATTTGCATAAATATTTTAATACTAATTAAATATAGAAGACAACTTTTAAGAAGATATAGAAGAAAAAAGAAAGAAAACGAAGAAATTAAATTAGAAAATCCCACGGAAGATGTTTTAAAAAATAACTCCATATTTTTCAAAACTTAAGGAATTACTATATTGTGAACATAATAGACTCTTTTATGTTATAATTAGGCAGAGGAAAATTTACATTACAAACTGAAAGACCTGCGGGGCAACGGTAGTTTAATAGGTATAAAAATTACAACTTGAGGGTGGAGCCTAAATACTACAAACTTACTTCCGAGACTAAACAAAATCCGCATTTATTCATAATTTGAACAATTGCATGTAGATATGAGGGATACATATTCTAAAATCTAACGCGCGAAGTTGATACAAAGGAACCAAAAAATCCTACCACAGCTGCCGACGTTCATCAGTTATTGAGTGAGTCAGAGTTACCTAAATTAGGAAAACCTGAATCGTATTTGTTTTTCTTGCTGCATTGTGAGATATTATAACGCAGTTCGAGTTATTAGACGGTTTTACATTATTTTTATATTTTAATTTAGTGAATAGCTTTAATTAGATTAAATTACATTTAGAAGCATAGAGTTGTGAAAGATGGGCAAAATAAAACCAATATACAAATAACGAAAAAATAGACGATTGTTTCGAATAAGGTAATATTAATTAATACAGGGTATTTATTAATAATGTACAACAAAATATCAAAAGCAGTTTCAATAAACTTAAAAAAAAAATTTTGTGATTATTTTCTTACGCGAAAAGGTTGCGTCGTACGAAAGTACATCTATAAACCAAATTTGCTCCAAAATAAATAAGCATTTTAAAGATAATTTTGGTTTTTAGAAAAATATTCAGTTCAAACCCGGTACGGACGTTACTGGTAAAAATTTTAAAAAGACTTTTACGACAAAAAGGCGGAATTAAAAGTGAAAGTTTAGTCCGTTGGTACATAATATACCATATTTATATATCTAATTTTTATTATTACACTGTATGTGACATGGCTTTTTTGTTTGCCTTTTCTGGATTAACAAAATATTATTATTCAAAGTGAAATCATAAAACGACACATCTAGAAAGCACCAAATTATTAAACTTTTTTAATCTACGTAACAAGTATTAAAAGTAATTTTAAAAAATTGACTTCAAAATTGTGCAGATGCCATCACCACATCTTAACCAAATTTTTATGGGTATCCCCTTACTAACAAAAAAAGAATCATAGAAATCGGACAAGATGGTAAAGAATTATCGCTAAACATACATAAAAAATGAAGAGTTTGAGAATTTTCTCATGGACCTAATTATTAGATTTTGACCAAATATAGGACCACACCTAAAGTACCCCCTTTCCAGCAAAAAAAAGAATCCTTGAAATCGGACACCGTGTTAAAGAATTATCGCTGAACATACATAAAAAAAAATATATTACGACGAATTGAGAACCTTCTTTTTGAAGTCGGTTAAAAAAGGATATAATAAACTTGTTTAATGATAATATTAATATTTAAAGGTTTTAAATAAGAAATTGAAGATATAACAGTTCGGAATTGCTTTTATTGACCATAATACTTTTTTTGGAATGGAAGCATTAGTTCCCGTTTTTCAGTTAAGCTCCTTAAATCAATTCATATTTTAATCTTAACGCTACTTAAGGGCAATAAAGTTGCAACAACTAAAAAATATAGTGAACTTTTCGAAAATATCTAAGTTAAAATGAAAATCAATTTATATTTAAAATTAAATAAGTTTGCTAAAATTTTTGACCGTATGCAGTTATTACAGTTATAAATAATTACGTTTTAAAGATTCATATATGAATTTTCAATTTCTATCGATGTGATAGTTACTCATCTGCGTTTTACAATATTAATACATGAGTTGGCTTTGGCACAAAACCCTGTATAGTAAAACTTCTAATCCGAATCAAATTCTTGAAATTATTATTTGGGGACTTAAAAACGTGGTCCACTTAGTTGGTTAGCTTTTTAAAACATTAGGTATAATAATAATTGTATATCATCAATTGCCACTGACACTGGTAAAATCCTAAATTTAAAAAATCGTATTACAATAATAAGACATTAATCATATCTTAAATGGATCACCTACTACCATTTTTGAAAATAAATAAATTAATAAACAGGTTAAGTTGAAAAACAGCCTGTGCTGAACTTCGCCTTTTCATAATTTTCCTTCTTTTTTTTTTTTTTTTTGTTATTGTAAATGTGTAACTATGATGAATAAAGACCATTTATTATTATTATTATTCAAAATAATTTAAGATCTTGCGTTATGTTAATAAAAATTAAACAAAATTTGTCACGAATTATTTAGTATTCTGTCTCGTACTTTTCCATGTCTCTATTAGCTCCGCTGTTCTGACAAGGCATATTGCATATAAAAATTTTGAATTTTATTTTTTTATCTTTTCTTTCCAGAAGCTGTTATTATGAGGAATTTTCCCCACTTTTATTCTTCCAGAAGTCCAAAAGCACAAAATGCAAATATCCGTTTGTGTTACGTGCAACTAGCCCTGAAAATACCAATAGTGGTTCTCCTTAATGGTATTGTCTTTTATTCAAAAAGTTATTTCTTTATTGCATATTTCTTCTTCTACAGTCAGCACTCTAGGTCCATATGGACATTTCAATTATATCATAGAATTTGTTTTTTTTTAATTCCATCCAGATTTGCAGCAACATAATCAAATTCGAATTCAATAAAATATCCACATTGAAAAACTTTTTCTTGCAAATAAATTTCCAAATCTTATTTTGCACTGAATTTATGGCAATAAATAAACGATTTTAGATTTTTTATAAATTTCTCAAAATTTTAAAGCAGTGACTCGTTTTCGTCTTTTATTGTGCCACAATGCACAATCAGCTTATCACAATCGTTTTTTTCTCATCTATAGACATTGGGCTTATATTTTAGAAAATCTTCTCTTGCAACACGCTTCAAAGAGTGCGACAGATCAAAGCCAGAAAAATGATTTACATTACTTTAACGGTATTCATTAA